AAGAAGGGCATTATATCATATAAGGGGTCTATCTACCAAAAAGATCTAACAATTATAAACATTTATGCTCCAAATGTGGAAACACCTAAATGTATAAAACAATCACAAACATAGAGAAACTCATTGATAAGAATACCATACTAGTACAGGACTTCAACACCCCACTTACAGCAATGGACAGATCATCTAAACAGAAAATTAACAAGGAAACAATGGCTTTGAATGACACACTGGATCAGATGGATTTAACAGATGTATTCCGAATATTTCATGCTAAAGCATCAGAAAACACATTATTCTTGAGTGCACATGGGACATTCTCCAGGACAGGTCACATACTGGGACAGAAATCAGCTCTCAAGAAGTACAAAAAGATCGAGATCATGCTGTGAATATTTTCAGACCACAATGCTATGAAACTCGAAATCAACCACAAGAAAAAACTTGGAAAGATAACAAATACTTAGAGACTAAAGACTATCCTACAAAAGAATGAATGGGTAACCAAGAAGTTAAAGAGAAAATTTAAAAGTACATGGAAGCCAATGAAAATGTTAACACCATAGCCCAAAACCTCTGGGACACAGCAAAGGTGGTCATAAGAGAGAAGTATATAGCAATCCAGGTCTTTCTAAAGAAGAAGAAAAAGGTCTCAGATACACAATCTAACCTTTTCCAGCTCTTAAGGCTAAAGAGCTGGAAAAAGAACAGCAAATAAAACCCAAAAACAGCAGCAGATGGAAAATAATAAAGATTAGAGCAGAGATGAATGCTACTGAAACCAAAACCAAAACACACACACACACACACACACACACACACACACACACAGTAGAGCAGATCAATGAAACCAGGAGCTGGTTTTTTGAAAGAATTAACAAAACTGTTAAATCCCTAGCCAGTCTGATCAAAAAGAAAAAGGAGAGGACCCACATAAATAAAATCAACAATGAAAGATGAGAGATCACAACAAACACTGCAGAAATACAATCATAAGAGATTATGAGCAAGTATACACTAAGAAATTAAGCAATCTGGAAGAAATGGAAAAATTACTAGAAACAAATAAACTACCAAAACTGAAAAAGGAAGAAATAGAAAATTTAATAGGGGCGCCTGGGTGGCTCAGTCAGTTAAGCATCCAACTTCGGTTCAGGTCATGATCTCATGGTTTGTGGGTTCGAGCCCCGCATCAGGCTCTGTGCTGGCAGCTAGCTCAGAGCCTTGTGCCTGCTTCGGATTCTGTGTCTCCCTCTCTCTCTGACCCTCCCCTGCTCATGCTCGCGCTTTCGCTCTCTCTCTCTCTCTCTCTCAGAAATAAATAAAACATTTAAAAAAAACTTAATAGACCCATAGCCAGTAAAGATATTGAATTAGTAATAAAAAATCTCCCAAAATAACAAGAGTCCAGGGCCAGATGGCTTTCCAGGGTAATTCTAACCAGACATGTATTTTTTTATTTTATTTTAAATTCTTTTTAACGCTTATTTTTGAGACAGAGATAGACAGAGCACGAGTTGGGGAGGGGCAGAGTGAAAGGGACACACAGAATCTGAAACAGGCTCCAGGCTCTGAGTTGTTAGTACAGAGCCCAATGCAGGGCTTAAACCCACAGACTGTGAGATCATGACCTGAGCCGAAGTCAAACGCTTAACCAACTGAGCTACCTGGGCGCCCCACTACCAGACATTTAAAGAGTTAGCATCTATTCTTTTGAAACTGTTCCAAAAATCAGAAATGGAATGAAAACTTCCAAATTCATTCTATGAAGGCAGCATTACCTTGATTCCAAAACTAGACTAAGACCCCACTAAAAAGGATAACTATAGACCAATTTCCCTCATGAACATGGATGAAACAAACCTCAGCAAGATCTAGCCAACCAGATTCAACAATACATTAAAAGAATTATTCACCACGACCAAGTGAGATTTATAACTGGGATACAAGTCTGGTTCAGTATCTGCAAAACAATCCATGTGATACATTACATCAATAAAACAAAGAACAAGAACCACATACACCCCTTAATAGATGCAGAGAAACCATTTGACAAAATACACCATCCTTTCTTGATAAAAACTCTCAAGAAAGTAGGGATAGAAGGATCATACCTCAAGATCATAAAAGCTATATATGAAAGACCGACCCACTGCTAATATCATCCTCAATGGGAAAAAACTGAGAGCTTTCCACCTAATGTGAGGAACACGACAGGGATGTCCACTCTCGCCACTGTTATTCAACATAGTGTTGGAAGAAGTTCTAGCCTCAACAAACACAAAGGAATAAAAAGCATCCAAATCGGCAAGGAGGAAGTCAAACTTTCACTCTGCAGAACATGATATTCTACAGGGAAACCCAAGAGAATCCACCAAAAAACAGCTAGAACTGACCCATGAATTCAGCAAAGTCGCAGGGCGTAAAATCAATGCACAGAAATTGGTTGTACTCCTATACACCAATAAGGAAGCAACAGAAAATCAAGGAATCAATCCCACTTACAATTGCACCAAAAACCGTACAATACCTATGAATAAACCTAACTGAAGAGGTGAAAAATCTATACACTGGAAACTATAGAAAGTATATGAAATAAATTGGAGAAGACATGAAAAAAATGGAAAAATATTCCATGTTCATGGATTCAAAGAATACTGTTAAAATGTTGATACTATCCAAAGCAATCTACGTATTCATTGCAATCCCTATCAAAACATCACCACCATTCCTCACAGAGGTAAAACAAACAATCCTAAAGATTGTATGGAAAAGACCCTGAATAGCCAAAGAAATCCTGAAAAAGAAAATCAAAGCTGGAGGCATCACAATCCCAGACGTCAAGATGTATTAAAAAGCTGTAAATCATCAAGACAGTATGGTATTGGCACAAAAACAAATACTCAGATCAATGGAACAGATTAGAGAACCCAGAAATGGACCCACAAACATATGGCCAACTAATCTTTGACAGGAAATAATATCCAATGGAATATAGACAGTATCTTCAGCAAATGCTGCTGAAAACTGGACAGCAATATCCAGAGAAATGAACCCGGGCCGCTTTCTTATGCCATACATAAAAATACACTCAAAATGGATGAAAGACCTAAATATAAGACAGGAAACCATCAAAATCCTAGATAAAGCAAGCAACAACCTCTTTGACCTTGGCTGCAGAAACTTCTTACTTGACATGTCTCTGGAGGCAAAGGAAACAAAAGCAAAAATGAAATATTGGGACCACATCAAGAAAAAACGTTCTGCACAGCGAAAGAAACAATCATCAAAACTAAAAGGCAACTGACAGAATGGGAGAAGATATTTGCAAAGGGCCTATCAGATAAAGGATTAGTACCCAAAAGCTATAAAGAACTTATTAAACTCAATACCCAAAAAACAAATAATCCAGTGAAGAAATGTGCAAAAGACATAGATACTTTTTCAAAGAAGATATTCAGATAGCTAACGGACACATGAAAAGATGCTCAATATCCCTCATCATCAGGGAAATACAAATTAAAACCACAATGAGATACCTCACACCAGTCAGAATAGCTAACATTAACAACTCAGGAAACAACAGATGTGGAGAAAGGGGAACACTTTAGCACTGCTGGTGGGAATGCAAACTGGTGCAGCCACTCTCGAAAAGAGTATGAAGGTTCCTCAAAAAATTAAAAATAGAACTACTCTGCAACCCAGCAATTGCACTACTACGTTTTTATCCAAGGGATATAGTGTGCTGTTTCAAAGGGCACATATACACCAATGTTTAAAGCAGAACTATAGACAAGAGCCAAAGAATGGAAAGAGCCCAGATGTCCATCGACTGGTGAATGGATTAAGATGTGGCATATATATACAATGGAGTATTACTCAGTGATCAAAAAGAATAAAATCTTGCCATTTGCAACAATGTAGAAGGAACTATAGCTTATTATGCTATGCAAAATAAGTCAGAGAAAGACAAACATCATATGACTTCACTCGTGTAATTTAGGAAACAAAACAGTTTCTTAACATAGGGGAAGGGAAGGATAAATAAGATAAAAACAGAGGGAGGCAAACCATAAGAGACTCTTAAATATAGGGAACAAACTGAAGATCAGCAGAGGGGGGATGGGCTAAATGAGTGATGGGCATTAAGGAGACCACTTGCTAGGACAAAGCACTGGGTGTTATAGATAAGTGATGAATCACTAAATTCTACTCCTGAAATCATTATTACACTATATACTATATGGTAACTAACTTGTATTTAAATTAAAATGTTCATTTAAGTGCATATGTTCTAAAATTGATCATGGTGATAGTTGCACAACTCTGTGAATATATTAAAAGCTAGTAAATTGAGGATGCCCAGTGGGTCAGTCAGTTAGGCATCTGACTCTTGATTTCAGCTCAGGTCATCATCTCATGGTTCACGAGTTTCAGGCCTGCATTGGGCTGTGCTGACAGAGCAGAGCCTGCTTAGGGATCTCTCTCTCTCTGTCTCTCAAAATACTTTTAAAAAAGCCACTGAACTGTATACTTTAAAAGGGTGACTTGGGGGCACCTGGGTGGCTCAGTCAGTTAAGTATCCAACTTCAGCTCAGGCCGTGATCTCACAGCTCATGAGGTCAAGCCTTGTGTGGGCTCTTGCTGACAGCTTGGTGGAGCCTGGAGCCTGATTCGGATTCTGTATGTCTCTCTCTCTCTCTCTCACCTGATTCGGATTCTGTGTGTCCCTCTCTCTCTCTCTGCCCCTCCCCTCCTTGTGCTCTGTCTTGCTCTCAAAAATAAACATTAAAAAATTTTTTTAAAAATTATGAGTGGTTTGTACTGTATGTGAATTGTATCTCAATAAAGCTATTAATATTCTCCTATATATAATGGAAGACTTTTTAGTACTAATAACAAAACAACTGAACCATCAAAAGTGATGTCTACACAAACATGTAACTTTAATGTTTTATAGTGTATTTAACATTACGTCAGAAGAATAGCAAAATTATTACCTTTTCTACTGAAGACAGCTGTTGCTGTAATCCATCACATTTTTTGTTTAGCTCTTCAAAAAGAGTTTTATACTTTTCTGTTTGAGACTGTTGCAAATTAATTGTTCGCTGCTGTCTCATACAATCTTCTTCAAAGTTTTTTATTTGAGACTTTAAATCCTGAATTTCATTTTCCTATAGTTATAAAATTATAGATTATGTGAAAAAATACACAAGACGTGCTATCAAAACATAAAGCAGAAAACAAAAAGGAGCTTCATATGATTTTTAATGAGATATTTTTATCTATTTCAAGGAGAATAACAAATTGCATTCCATTCTCATCTTCACAAATAGAAGTCAGATGTTTTATTTGTGATTAACAGCTTCCATTTGTAAAACTTATATAGAAAATTCTAACTGCTAAGGAGTATTTAAAATTCTTTCATTCAGTGAAAATTCAACATCTCAGGATACAGTTCGGTATTTACACACAATTTTTATTTTTTATTTATTTATTTTTTAAATGTTTTAATTTTGAGAGAGAGAGAGAGAGAGACAGTGTGAGCAGGGGAGGGTCAGAGAGAGAGACACACACACAGAATCCGAAGACAGGCTCCAGGCTCTGAGCTAGCTGTCAGCACAGAGTCCAACGTGGGGCTCGAACCCACAAACTGTGAGATCATGACCTGAGCCGAAGTCGGACGCTTAACCGACTGAGCCATCCAGGTGCCTCTACGTACAATTTTTAATTCAAAATTTAACTATAAATTATATCTCAATAAATATATATTTTAAAAATAATTGAAACTGTGCCTAAAATATCTTTAAATATAGGGGTGCCTGGGTGGCTCGGTCAGTTAAGCGTCTGACTTCAGCTCAGGTCATGATCTGACGGCTCCTGAGTTTGAGCCTCGCATCAGGCTCTCTGCTGTCAGCACACAGAACCTACTTTGGAACTTCTGTACCCCCTCTTTCTCTGTCCCTGCCCCACTTGTGCTCTCTTTCTCAAAAATAAATACACACACAAAAAAAATCTTTAAATACAGAGCATTTATTTTGAGAGGTTTTAAAAACATACCTTTTTATTGCATTCATATACAACATTATCCAATTCCTCCTGCATAATACGGAGTTTGGCCTTTAGAAACCTGTTCTGTGCTTCTGTGGATTTAAATAATTACATTTATTGTCTGTCATTGAGTCTAAGATGCCATTAATTGAAGGTAGACCACTATTTTATGAGGAAAAATACTGCTGTAGATGGGGTGTTTATCAGGAGATCCCTGCTTGAGAACACAAAAGACAGTGAATACCCATACTACCAAGGTAAAGGAAAACAAATCCACCCAACAGAAAGGAATTGTTCACATTTCAACACTGGAGCGGAGTAAAGAGGGGGAAAAAACCTAAAACCTCTCCAGAGAGTCTGAACAAGCCAGTATTCACATTAAATTTGCAGACTGAATTCATCTTTACCAAAATGGTACAAAATACCTCAGTCAAAATTTAAAGTGGTTTCAGGTTGGTAACATCCCCAAGTGTTTGGTAGAAAAAAACAGAAAACCACTGGAGCAAAACTCAGTTCAATCTTAGCCATTGTGATTATAAAATACCACTCACTGTAGCACACATCCCAATTTCATGTAAGTTATAATGTAGTCTATGTGCCTTAGAAGCAGAGAAATACACTAACACCTTACTGCTGAAGCTTTTCCCCACAAAATGTAAAATCTGCCTTTGCAAAGTATTTCATTGCTACCTAAAGTTCTTTATTCAATGATATCAGCAGTAAATCTTTGATGTTTCTAGGCCTCTACAAGTAAGTAAAACTGACATCAGAACTCACTCCATAATTCATTCAATCATTCATTCAAAAAATATACATTGTCTCTACAAATGTTCCAGGCATAATAGGGATAAAACAAGCTTTGCTTTCATGGATCTGATCTTGAGTAAACACCCTGAATGGTCTCTGTCATTAGAATATATCCCTCAGAACACACAAAATCTCTTCATACATACTCCTCTTCCAAAGCTTTTTTTTTTTTTTAAGATTATTTGGGATTGAGAGAAAGAGCGAGCGCGCACACATGTGTGACCTGTGGGCTGGGGAGGCGCAAGGGAGAGATGAAGGGAGAAAGTGAGAGAGAATCCCAAGCAGGCTCTGTGTTGACAAGCCAATGTGTGGGGCAGATCTCCCAGACTGTGAGATCATGACCTGAGACAAGATCAAGAGTCTGACATTTAACTGACTGAGCCACCGAGGTGTACCCAAAGCTCTTATTAAACGCTTCCAGTGTTACTATGGAGCTGATTAACAATGACTGGCTCTAACCCACCTAGATCTCTCCAGCCTCAACTCTCCTTCAAACCTCTCATGTCACTCCAGGTTAGCACAGGATAGAAGGGAAATGATAAATTTAAAAATATGAACTTTGCAGTAGCTGCTCTCTAAGTGTAAAGGAGGTGGAAATGGAGAGCATGACTTCATCCATCTCTCTCTCCCCAACTAACCTCTCATCTCTACAGGCCATGGCATTAACGTTCCGTCCCCAACTCCCTCTGACTTTAGTCTTACAAGCTAGTATGTGCTACTAAACTACTTTATTATCTTTTCCTCTTGCCTGTAAGATACCCATTCTAGGCAATCATGTCGAATAAGAGAAAAACTCCCCCAAAGGGGGATATAACTGGGCCAAAAATTGTGGAAAGGGAACACAGGCAAAGTGGCAAAGAGGTGATTCAACAATAAAAAGAAAGCAGCAATTGAAGGTAGTCTATTTCTGGGCGCCTGGGTGGCTTAGTCGGTTAAGCATCCACTTTCGCTTAGGTCATGATTTCACGGTTCGTGGGTTCGAGCCCCGCGTCGGGCTCTGTGCTAACTGCCAGCTCAGAGCCTGGAGCCTGTTTCAGTCTGTGACTCCCTCTCTCTCTGACCCTCCCCTGCTCACGCTGTCTCTCTCTCTCCTAGAAATAAATAAAACATTAAAAAAACACACACACATAAAAAAGGTAGTCTGTTTCTACTGGTTCTATGTATCTGCAAGCAGGAATATTGTCATGGGGCTATGGGTAACTATGTACTGAAAAACAGCCTACATATGAACAGTGTGTCCTTGAAGGCATCTTGACAAAGATGTAAAGGCAACTTCTTGCTTCATTTCTTTCTCTCTTCTGACAAGTACCCCCAGAAAGCTTACGTTTATTAGCCAGTAAATGTAATAAATTCATAAATGAATTCATTTATGACTACCATGCAGCACAATTATCATCATACATATAAATTGTTATAGTTTTCACAGAATTAGAGAATTTTAAAGATAATCTTATGACCATCTAATATAAACTGCTAAATTTTGAACTGAAGATTACAGAGAGGCCAAGTGGCTTGCCTGAACTTACGGAATTATAGTTGAGTATTACCTGTTTATCTACATTCAATTGTCTTTTGTATACAACAGCATAGGTGGCACCTCAAAAATTCAACAATTTTAGAGGCATTACTGATAATGTTTTTAAAGGATCTAAACTTCTTATTTTTCAAAGTGATATGCAGAGAATGAGTTCATAAGAAAATTACATTCATTAGAAAACTAATTTGATTATTTTAACTGATGTCACATGAATGATTCATTTATCCTTTTGACATGCCATAAGTAGAATGTTTTAATGATAAGCTATGGGGCATTTTAACCTTAGTTGAAAAGTGGTCAATGAAACCAATACCAGAGAGTCTTTTTTATTTTTACTTTTTAGAATGGAAAACGTTAAACCTATATAAAAGTAGAAAGACAATGAAAAACCACTTTCTCACTGAAAAACCACTTTCAACAACTGACTCATAACCAATTTTATTTCATCTATAATTCCACTCATTCCTCCTACCATCATGTCCCACTAGATGATCTTGAAACAAATGCAAGGTATTATAATACATTTTTGAAATGCAAAAAAATAGTTCCCAAATATCTAAGTGATTGTGATATTAGGATAAAAATAAACAAAACTTACCTGTTCCAATGTCATTACTAACACCACAAAAAATATCATCATCGATACAATCAGGTAAGCCTTCTTCCTCCAGTTGCCCTTCAATTTTACTAATTGTTTTAGCAAGAGAAAAGTCTGAGAAACCCTCTGGAATGGCAACATCATTGGCAGTATGTACATCAAAGTACTTCAATTTTGTACTATAAATAAACACACACACATATATACATACTCAGTATATATTATATACAATGTCAATATACAAATGAAATATGACTTCTATCCAAATAAAAAAAGGATATCAAGATTATTAATTAAAAATTATTAATTTTAAATTTATGACTACACCTACAATTGCTACTTCCAAGGATCATATTATAAAAGACTTAGCTGACTTTCAATCTTTATGAATCACACAGTCACAGAGCTAGAGAAGGCTTATGAAACCAGTTTGTCTGTGCATTGCCTCTGAACAAGTAAACATCAAAACTAAAAGTGCTGAACTTGGCCTCCCAAGTCAGATCCAGACTGTGGCTTTTAACTTACATGCTGCTGAAGAATTATATAAAGTGATATTGCATCTAGCTATAATTCTGCAAACACTGAGAATAATACAACTTGAGAGAATTAGAGTGAACATTTACTAGTTCAATCAAAATAAACTTTTTTTCCATCTAAAGAAATACATTCTAACCAGAATCAAAGTAAACCAAAAAACTGGATTTGTTTTTCTTAACAAGAGAAGAAATATAAAAGTCACTAGTAAAGGCATTGATGAAGGCACCAGGCCTAACCCAACAAGTTTATGATTCCAAATGTCTTTTTTACTTTTTACCTAATTTAAAGCCTAACTTAATTTTTTTTCCTTAAATGGTGTATTGTCAAGTTGGTTTCCATATAACACTCAGTGCTCATCCCCATAAGTGCCCTCCTCCATGCCCATCACCCCCATTCCCCTCTACCCCATCCCCATCAGCCCTCAGTTTGTTCTCAGCATTCAAGAGTCTCTCATGGTTTGCCTCCTTCCCTCTCCCCAATTCTTTTTCCCCTTCTTCTCCCCCATGGTCCTCCGTTAAGTTCCTCCTAATCCTCCTATACGTGCAAACATATGGTAGCTGTCGTCCTCTGCCTGACTTATTTCCCTCAGCATAACACCCTCAAGGTCCATCCATGTTGCTACACATGGCCAGATTTCATTCTTTCTCATTGCCATGTAGTATTCCATGGTATATATAACCACATCTTCTTGATCCATTCGTCCTCTGATGGACACTTAGGCTCTCTCCATGGTTTGGCTATTGTTGAGAGTGCTGCTATGAACATTGGGGTACATGTGCCCCTATGCATCAGCACTCCTGTATCCCTTGGGTAAATTCCTAGCAGTACTACTGCTGGGTCATAGGGGAGTTCTATTGTGAATTTTTCGAGCAATCTCCACACTGTTCTCCAGAGGGGCCGCACCAGTTTACATTCCCACCAACAGTGGAGGAGGGTGCCCGTTTCTCCACATCCTCACCAGCATCTAGAGTCTCCTGATTTGTTCATTTTAGCCACTCTCACTGGCATGATGTGGTATCTCAGTGTGGTTTTGATTTGTATTTCCCTGATGATGAGGGACGCTGAGCATCGTTTCATACGTCTGTTGGCCATCTGGATGTCCTCCTTGGAGAAGTATCTGTTCACGTCTTCTGCCCATTTCTTCACTGGATTATTTGTTTTTCGGGTGTGGAGTTTGGTAAGTTCCTTATAGATTTTGGATATTAACCCTTTATCTGCTATGTCATTTGCAACTATCTTTTCCCATTCTGTCAGTTGCCTATTAGTTGTATTGATTGTTTCCTTTGCCGTGCAGAAGCTTTTAATCTTGATGAGGTCCCAGTAGTTCATTTTTGCTCTTGATTCCCTTGCTTTTGGGGATGTGTCAAGTAAGAAGTTGCTGCAGTGGAGGTCAAGGAGGTTGTTTCCTGCTTTCTCCTCTAGGGTTTTGATGGTTTCCCGTCTCACGTTCAGGTCCTTCATCCATTTTGAGTTTATTTTTGTGTATGGTGTGAGAAAATGATCTAGTTTCATTCTTCTGCATGTTGCTGTCCAGTTCTCCCAACACCATCTGTTAAAGAGGCTGTCTTTTTTCCATTGGATCCTCTTTCCTGCTTTGTCAAAGATTAGTTGGCCATATATTTGTGTGTCCAATTCTGAGTTCTCTATTCTATTCCATTGGTCTATGTGTTTGTTTATGTGCCAATACCATACTGTCTTGATGATGACAGCTTTGTAGTAGAGGCTAAAGTCTGGGATGGTGATGCCTCCCATTTTGGTTTTCTTCTTCAATATTACTTTGGCTATTCGGGGTCTTTTGTGGTTCCATACAAATTTTAGGATAGTTTGTTCTAGTTTTGAGAAGAAAGCTGATGCAATTTTGATTGGGATTGCACTGAATGTGTAGATTGCTTTGGGTAGTCATGACATTTTAACCATATTTATTCTTCCGACCCATGAGCATGATATGTTTTCCCATTTATTTGTGTCTTCTTCAGTTTCCCTCATAAGTGTTCTATAGTTTTCATCATACAGATCTCCTATATCTTCAGTTAGATTTATTCCTAGGTATTTTATGGTTTTTTGTGCACGTGTAAATGGGATCCATTTCTTGATTTCTCTTTCTGTTGCTTCAGTATTGGTGTATAAAGATGCAACCCATTTCTCTAAGTTGATTTTGTTCCTTGCAACTTTGCTGAATTCATGGATCAGTTCTTGCAGGCTTCTGGTGGAATCTGTCGGGTTTTCTATGTAGAATATTATATCATCTGCGAAAAGTGAGAGTTTGACTTCTTCTTTGCCAGTTCTGATGCCTTTGATATACTTTTGCTGTCTGATGGCTGATGCTAGGACTCCCAGCACTATGTTAAACAACAGTGGTGAGAGTGGACATCCCTGTCGTGTTTCTGTTATCAGGGGGAAAGTTCTCACTTTTTCCCCAATGAGGATGATGTTAGCTGAGGGCTTCTCATAGATGGCTTTTATGATATTTAAGTAAGTTCCTTCTATTTTGACTTCCTCTAAGGTCTTTATTAAGAAGGGATGCTGTATCTTGTCAAGTGCTTTACCTTCATCTATCGATAAAATTATATGGTTTTTATCTTTTCTTTTGTTGATGGGATGTATCACATTGATTGATTTGCAAATATTGAACCAGCCCTGTAACCCAGGAATGAATCCCAATTGATTATGGTGGATAATTCTTTTTACATGCTGTTTGCAAGTATCTCGCTGAGGAATTTTTCAACCACCATATTCATCAAGGATACTGGCCTGTATTTTTTTTTTTTTTTTTTTTTTTTTTTGCTGGGTCTCTGTCTAGCTTGAGAATGAAAGTGATGCTAAGCCTAACTTACTTTTAATACATAAGTACAAACTTCAGAATTCTATTGAGAAAATTAACCTTTTCTTTAAAAAGTAGTTTTAAAATCTGAAAACAAAATAAGCAGTTATGTATGTATGCATGTACTGATGTATGCAGTATATGTTCTCTTTTATCAATTTATTAATTTGTTTTAAAGTTTATTTATTTTAAGATAAAGAGAGCATGAATGTGAGCAGGGGAGGCACACACACATACAAGAAGTGGGGCGGGGGAGAGAAATGAGGGGGAGAGAGAGAGACGGAGATAGAGACGCCCAAGCTGGCTACATGCTGTCAGTGCTGAGCTCAACACGGGGCTTGATCCTACTAACTGTGAGATCATGACCTTAGTCAAAACCAATTTGGACCCTCAACCAACTGAGCTACCCAGGTGCCCCTACCTATCTATTTTAGATTTATTTTCTCTTCCTTATCCCTTCACTCTATTTTTTCTTTTTTTCAAAAAGACAAAAAAGTTATTTAACCTATTAAAAGGCACAAATATTAACAAAGATTTTTCCAGGATTACAATGCAATTATCAGTTTGGGTAAATAATAGACACTTAATCGTTTACTGTAAATAAGAAACTGGTAGGTACAACCCACTGTAGGTGTGAACTTCCTTTTCCAGAAACACTCCTATCCTAGAGAGCCTCTTGGGTCCCCTTTTCAAGCTTAAAATATTAAGAACAGTCTTGAATCCTTTCTCTCCAAAAACAATAGAATTTAATTACAATGATACTATAGTCTTATTTAGAGCCTACCAAAGAATTCTGTATGTCAATATACACAATAATCTGTGGTTTCCTATTAAAAGTTTAAAAAAGTAGACTAGTCTGAGAGAACTAGGGAGAGAAAGACACCTATATTCTAGTCTTAATTCTAAGAAAATATCTCACAAAAAATAACATTTAAAAATTTGAAATGTGGCGATTTTGCTTAAAAGAACAACGTAAAATGTTTAGTAACTGACGCAAGACATTTCTGAGTAGAGAATGTTTTAAATTACTGAATGTAGATAAGATATATACAATGCCAGGTATAAAGAGATCTGGGGAAAAAGAAAGAGCTTAATAATTAAAATATGGTACTATGAATCCTCAAACTAAACAAAGTAATACTTTTAAAAATGTACAATACCTTGAATTTGTTTTCCTCCCTTTATTTGTGGAGCGTAGTTTGTTCTGAATCTTGTTTACTGCATCAACATTTTTGGTCTTTGGCTACATCAAAGAATTTAAATTATTGATTAATTAGATTCTAATCATTTGCCCTAGAAAACAATTTGGCAATATACAGAACTGCTAATTTACTACACAGAAGAACTGCCATTTTCATGGAATTCATCAAATTGTATTTGAAAGAATTCCAGAACTGTATAGCTAGAAAAGATCTAGTTATCACTTGCACCAACAAGTTCAAAGACAAGGAAAATGAGTCCCATAAAGTCAAGGATGTTCAGCTGGCTAGTGGAACATTAAACTGAGTGTTATGACTCACAGAAATGAGTTCTGCTCACTGATTATTCCCCAGACAGGCCTTCACATATGCTATTCCTTTAGCCTAGATCCCCATGGATAGGGAAACTGTAGATCTCAAAAAGCCTGCAGTAGTGATCTATACACTGCAAATATTTAAATGAATGAATAAACCTTTCAAATGACCTTCATTGTATATAAGTATTTCTATTTTTCAGGTGGTAAATCTAGTAAATCTAGTGAATTTGGGCTTCAGAGGGAAAACAAACTCCTTAGGTTACAGGTTCATTTTACTCAGAATTTTTTTCCAATATATATCCAAATTGTTCAGTGAAATTATGAGACAAAAAAGGATTCAGCTTATTTTATGAGCATCACTTCATGAAGGCCTCTCTTTAAAGTATCAAGGCTTATATTCTATTTCTGTAGAGTCATACTCCTCTGATTTGTTCTAAGAAAAGCCTAAAAAATAACCTAAATTCTACAGAATGTAATTACATTTACAGCAAGTTCAATTTCATACCTTAGTTTCTGAATGTAGATGAACTATCCTTTCAGACAACAGACTTCTACAGACCAAAAATAAACATTATACATTAATAATAGATGATATTAAGCTGAGACACAATAAAACTCAACAGTAATTAAATCTGAAAGGGAAAGTAGACAACTACCAAGTAGTCTTTGCTTTAATTCTAGTTATACACGTTAATTTATTAACATAAGAAAAGCACAAGAAAAGCGCTTTGGTTAAATAATTCACCTTTGAGAACATATACTATAATACCAATATTTTTGTAGGAAAATGAAGCAAAAACTTTAACAAATGAAAATCATAATGAGTGGCGACACACAGGGATTATCTATTTTACCAAATGATTCACCACCAAGGCTTTTTAGTGTGAGCCTGCCCAGTGTAATCCTTTGTTTAATGCATTTAAATACTTGGTCAGTGTCTGTTTTTCCCATTACACTGTGAAATCCATGAAGGTACAAATTATGTCTGTCTTGTTCACTGCCTTAGGCCTACGACCTGGCATATAGCTTCTTACACTGTCATCAAATAAATATTTCCTAAATACATGAATCTAAAAGACAACTCATTTTTTAAACATTTTAACTTCACATTCTTTTTTAATTGAAATACAATAGCCTATTAGTTTCAGGTGTACAACATAGTGATTCAATATTTTTATACAAAATGATCCCCACAATAGGTCTAGTTGCCATCTGTCACCATACAAAGTTGTTATAATATTAATGACTATATTCCCTTTGCTGCACAATACATCCCTGTGACTGACTTAATTTATTACTGGAGATTTGTACCTCTAAAATACAACTCATCTTTATGCACAGTTTTAAAAATATATTTTTATTTAAAACAAAGAATGTTTATGGGGTCTGCACTCTCTGACCTAGGAGCTGAATCCATCCACATCCACTCATTTACACATTACCTATGGCTGTTTTCACACTACAACAGCAAAGTTGAGTAGTTGTGACAAAGACTGTAAAGCCAATACAAAATATTTACAATCTGTCTTTTTACAGGAAGATCCTTTTTACAGGAAGGCTTTTTACACCTCTGATCAATTGTCTAGATCATCCTCGTTACATGTATTAATATTTATATCTATTACTGCTATTAAAAAGCAAGACAGAGGCACTGGATGGCTCAGTTGGTGAAGTGTCCTACTCTTGATTATAGCTCAGGTCATGATCTCATGGTTCATGGGATGGAGCTCCATGTTTGGCTTTACATTGACTGTGTGGAGCCTGATTGGGATTCTCTCCCTCCCTCTTTCTCTGCCCTTCCCCTGCTTAAGTTCTCAGTGTCTCTCTCTCTCAAAATAAATAAATAAAACATTTAAAAACAGAACACTCCATCATATTCCCTGAGAATTCATAACCAGAATAAGGACATAAAAACAAAATTACTTTCTATCAGATGCCACCAACTGAACTAGTCACACTTAGGTTACTTCAGTATTAAATAGGAAAATATACTTAGATAGATATCATGTACAACCTCTTAAAGAACCAGAAATAGCTCTGCTAAGAATAAAGGCTTCCAAAATAGCTTAAAATTACAAACTAAGAATCATTATCACATATGACATTAAAATGTTACCAACATTTATACAAAATTTTAACTGTCCTCTTCAATGTCCTTCCTATCAAATTAATATTTGCCATTTCCTTACATTTTCTCCATCTCCCACTGCCCCTCCCCGATACATAAAAGTATCAGCCAAAAGACATTTAACAGTTATGGGTCTCCCTCAGGTTTAGCTGAGTTGACATTACTTTGCTAGTATATTTCTGTGAAAAATGAACTAAAACACAGGATCCTAGTTACTCTTATTACATGTCTCCATGAAAGATTTATACGTAACATGATTGAAATGATTTGTATGGTAAACCTTGCTTCCAACAGACTGAGGATATGTATGCTATACTATTAGGAAGTTAAATTCTGGTTTTCCAACTGTATTGTTTGGCAGAGTAACCTTGGATATTGAAGACCTATTATAATATATACTGCGTGACCAAAATTATTTAGAAGAATTACTGTCCAAGCTAAAATGGATTGTCTTTTTACAGAATTACCTCCCATCTTTAGCAATTCCTAACTAATAGTCAAGCAGCATGTTTCACAAGGTAAAAGCCAATTGTTCAAACAGTAGTATTTTTTTTTTTAAAGCCATCTGACCAAGGTAAACAGAGGTGTCATCATCTCTTTGCACTTAAGGAAAATTTAGTGAAAGAAGACCAACAGATTTATTTTTATGCTTGTGAAATCAGTCTCCCACTTGCTTCAAGAGAAACTAGGGATTAGCAGTCTTTACTATCATTTCAATCTTTTCATTTACTTGATAAAAGCCAGACCTCATCTTCTCTGTAATCCAAATTTTGGAATTTTGATAGTATCATCTCCCATAAAATATCAGAAAGTGTTATAGGTAATAAGGAAAGGTTGTTTCATGTGTGTATATAAATAATGATATAAAAAATTTTATGGATAAAGATTTTATTAAAAAAATTAAAATACACTATGCATTAACTCCTTGGAAGCTGGACCTGATCTATTATAGCTATAAACCAGAAGCTAGGCCTGGCATGGATGGTGTTCAAAAATTATTTTTTTCAGAAAGATTTACTGATTTACAGTAAAATATACTCTTTTTAGGTACACAGCCCCATAAATTTTAACAAACATTATGATCATATAACCACCACAACAACCAAGATAATGTTTCCATCACCCCCAAGAGCTTCCCTGTGCTTTGTAGTTAATTCCCTCCCCTCCACGACACACAACCACTAATCACATTCTGTCTCTATAGTTTTACCATTTATAGAATGTCAAGTAAATGGAACATAAGGGAAAGGAATAGAGAGAGAGAGAGAGGCAAATCAGGAAATAGACTTTTAACTATAGAGAATAAACTGATGGTTACCAGAGAAGAGGTGAATGGTGGGGGAGGGGTGGATGGGTGAAATAGGTGACGGAGATTAAAGAGTGCACTTGTCATGATGAGCACAAGGTGATATATGGCAGTGCTGAATTACTATATTGTACGCCTGAAATTAATATTACACCATATGTTAACTAACTGGAATTTAAATGAAAACTTGAAAAAAATGGAATCATCTAGCATATATATATTTTAGTCTAGCTTCTTTCACTTAGCTTCTATATTCTTGCTGCATCAATAGTTTATTGCTTTTTACTGCCAAGTAGTATTCTGTTGCATAGATATACCATAATTTGCTTATCCTACCTGTTTACTACTTGATAGATCTTTGAGTTGTTTCCAGTTTTTGCAATTATGAATAAAACTCTATAAACATTCGCCTAACGGTTTTGCTTGGATATGTGTCCTCATTTTTCTTGGGTAAACAGCTAGAGGGGAATTGCTGGATCATATGCAGTATTTATTAGTAAATGATGTCCCAATATTTCAAGTATGAGCCAAATATACTACTGCTTAAATAACACATTTCTTTTTTGTTTCTAACACCTCTAAAGTGTTTAAACATTGTACCTTCTTAGGGCTGTGTTGTTCTCACAGCCTGCTTCTTCATCTCAGAAGACTGGGATGACGCACAGCAGTTTTCAGATTTAAACAGTCACAAAAAGTTTTAGTCTATCACTCAAAGTTTCTTTGCCAATACAACTCCCTCAAAAACTAGTGGATTTCACACCTATTTGATCCAGTTAGTTCTGTGTTCCATTACCACACCCACAGTTATTTCCAAGACTGTATTTCTTTATACTGAACATCTCACCCTCCTTCCTCCCTCCTCCCCAACTTTAAAAATGGCTTACTTTGAGGTCGTCAGGCTTCTGTGGGGGGAAACTATGATTTAGTTTAGCTTTAATTAGATCTTTGCCCTGAGCCATTTTACCCGATTGGTAAGTTTCACTAGGTGCCATTCAAAATGATCCTTGTCCTGAATAATCTTAATCTACTATAAAGTTTTATCAATAGCATGAAGAGCACATCTTTCGTTTGATTTTTACTTCAAGGTTGATCATTAATAGGCTTTTGTTCCTCAAAGAATATCTCAATTAGATCTCATAATTTTTTTGGTCAAAAAGCAGCTAATTCTACAAAGCAAGGGTAATCAACACAGTGCAGTACGGGCATAAGAGATATAGATAAATGTAGTAGAAGTGAGAGTCCACCAATAAAACCATGTGTCTCTGTTCAGCCGATTTTTGGCAAAAGTGCCAAAACTATTCAGTGGGGTAAGAATAATACAGCCAACAGTAATAACACATACTACTAATATTCTGTTTTCCAACCTCTCCCCGTAGAGCACAAGTTCATTTGACACCTGTTCTGCCTTGCAACTTAGCAAAAGTGGCAGTTTTACTAAATCCACTGCCGGTACATTTAATACAATTTATCTTTCCAGCCTCCAGGATCAGTTTCCTCACTGACGACCACCTAACTACACAGCTAAAGCCACACTTTATGAAATTTTGTCCTAGGGCACCTGATTCTCAATACCAATTACTATTAGTTAGGATAAAATAGGATAGCAACCCCAAAATTCAATGGCTAAACACAAAGTAACAGCAGAGAGGGAAAGAGGGCCCTTGTCTCCCCTAAGTTCCACATGGTCACCCAGAGACCAGGCTGGGAGGTTCCATCAACTGGATGTTCATTCATCATGGCAGAGAAAAGAGTCAGCCAGCAGTTCGAAATCCAACTCCTATCTTGGCTTCGAAGAGAACAATCTGACTTTTGCTCATAGCAAGAAACTTAGGCTGTTGGGTGATCACTATTACCTCTGCTATAAGATTTTATAGTTTTAGTCACATAGATCCTTTATGTTTCCTATTAAATTTATTCTTAAGTACTTTTTGGTTCCCTATTTTTTTTGACATACCTGAAGTTCATGTGAAATTCAAGGGAAAAAAGATCTAATATATTTTATTTTTACCTAATTTTCATATGCAATTTTAAAAGAAAGTATAGTATGTAAGAACAGGTTCAGAAAGCTTACCAAGTGTGGTTTGCATCTCAGTGCAATCACACATTATCTATATATCCTTGGGCAAACTTCTGAACTTTGCTGAGCTCTAGTTTCTTCATTTTTAAAATGAGGACAGTAACATTTATTTCAAAATAGTACTCTGAGAATTAAATGAGATAAAATAGGTAAAAGGTTTACACTGTGTCTGGCTGATACAAGCCCCCCATTTTATTAGTATATTATACCTTATTCTTCAAATTATAAATTTCTAATACTTACTTGCAAAAAGATCTTACCTAATAAAAGAATGGTGTTTGAGAATTTAACTTACCTTGAATTGCAATCCTCTTCCTTTTCATATGATTTAATTTGTGTTGAAACAGGCCTGGATTGATCTTCTTGCTGATCTCGCTAATTAAATGAGTAAGTCATATAAACAAAATAAGTCATATAAACAAAACCCACAAAACCAGGATATGGTCAAGTGTCTTTCTGATCATTAATCATGTGAAAGTTGTTCACAGTTTCCATGAAATCCAGGCACAGAATTCTAAATGTGATGGTATGAATATAAGGTTTGGAACAATGTAGTTTCACCTTTATTTTGGATTAAGAAAGTCAATTTTAAGGGAAAAATGTATCAATTCCTTATCTGATCTTATCCAACTCCTAGTTCCCCACTACGTTAGACTCTTCCAACTTGTGTAACATACAAAGGAAATTAGGCTCACATGAAACGAGAACATAAATCTGTTTAATGGGTAGAAAACCTTGTCTCAAATCAGGCAAAGCTTCAATGTTAAGATCATGAAGCACTAAACTACTACAAGTTTTTTGTTATGATATATCAAGAAATGAAAGTGAGTAAACAAAAATTCAATGCAGCCAAAGTTATATCCATTAACTTCTGTGGGGCAGCAATGTCCTCTCCCCTTTCCCAGCCCTTCCAGGACTTTACTCTTTTTCAGGGTAGGGGTAGACTGTTCTTAACTAGAGGATTCTTGAAGCAACAAATCCCTAATTCTCCTATAACATGGTTTGTTATTTTTCTGCTCTTTAGACACTGGCAAAACTAAAAGATATCATAAATATTTATTTTTAGTAAAATATACAATTACAAATGACACTAGGAAATCTGTAACCATTCTTTAAATACATTACCAGAAAAGAATGTGATGTGTGTGTACGTGTGTGTATGTATGTATGTGTGTGTATGTGTATATATATATGTATGTATACACACACATACTTCTTATTTCAAAACTAACAAATAATGATGGACTGTATAAGGCATTCAAACAAATTATTCCCTATTCTTCACTATGCCTGTAAGGGGGATGGGTTGAGAACTTAAAAACTGAGTAAAACTGAAACAAGTTTGAAAGCAGTTATTCTTCTAAGGAATAAGTAATGGGAATGCTGATGCATAAGGAACTGCTTACAGTAGGAATAACCAATTTGGTAGCCAGAATGGGGCAAAATATACTTACATTGTCTAGTGATAAAACTTCACTACATTTTCTCTAACTATAAATCTGACTACAGTCTAGCCCTAAGAATCTGAGTTACATACAACTGCAGAATTTAAGAAACCAATTACCATCTGAGTGTCAGTGATGACGGTTATCCTTTATTCAACTTTTTTCCAGAGCCCATGTTCTGTCCTTACTGAATTATCAGAATTAATTCTATACATCTAATCTCAAGCATTAATTTTAAAGTAGTGGGAAAGATTACTAAGTATAAATGTTCTTACTAATTAGATGACTGGAATATCAAATAGAAAATTTTCAGTGGCTTTTTGAAAATGCATGCATATCAAAAACATACTTGCATATATATACATACACCTATTCACATATTCATGTTCATTCTATGATAATCCAATGAACTAAAAATTTATGTTTTGGGCACTTTTTTACTTATTAAAAAAATTTTTTTAATCCTTATTTATTTTTGAGAGAGAGAGACAGAGACAGAGCATGAGTAGGGAAGGAGTAGAGAGAGAGGGAGAAACAGTATCTGAAACAGGCTCCAGGCTCTGAGCTGTCAGCACAAAGCCCAATGCTGGGCTTGAACTCACGAACCGTGAGATCATGACCTGAGCCGAAGACCTATGCTTAACCGACTGAGCCACCCAGGCGCCCCTGTTTTGGGCACTTTTATTTTTATTTTTTTAAATTTTTTTTATTTATTTCTAGGAGAGAGAGAGAGACAGCGTGAGCAGGAGAGGGTCAGAGAGAGAAGGAGTCACAGACTCCGAAACAGGCTCTAGGCTCTGAGCTGGCAGTCAGCACAGAGCTCGACGCGGGGCTCGAACCCACGAACCGCGAGATCATGACCTAAGCGAAAGTCGGACGCTTAACCGACCAAGCCACCCAGGCGCCTGTTTTGGGCACTTTTAAAAAGTTAAAAAAAAAACACAAAAACTAGCACTCACAGGAAATTAGTAATAATTGCATATTTACTTACTATTACTTCCTCAGCTTGTCGAACCAGATCAGCTGTTTTTGCCTCCAATTCTGCATTTAAACGTCTAAAGGCAGAAAATAATTTAACATTTGGGATACACTGAAAATTCTGACAAAAGTAATTAAATTTCAGTAACTATACTTTAGCTAATCAAAAAATACCAAAATATATACATGACATTTTTATCCTAAAATTACCATTACTATTCGAACTCTTACCTCCAATTCCTCATGATTCCTCATCATTTGTGGTAGAAATTCATACAGTAACTCCTGGCCTCTCTCTGGCCCTCACTTAAGTGGGAGATTTATTTGGGTAGGATAAACTGAGTGGGTTCAACTCAGTTTCACTCTCCATCTTCTTGGGATCAACTCCAGCTGGGGACAGGAACAGGGCAGGGTAGGGGAGAGGCCTGCTTTGTCTGGGGTGTTGCTGCAAATGGGGAGGTAAATCTGGGTTTAGTGAGCAGACCTAATGTGGCTCACACTATAGCTACATACTTTAGTATCAGCTTCAGAAACAAAGGTGACTGTATGGGCCTCCACTTGCCACTCCATCCCCCACCCCCACTCATGCCTCCGCCCTGCCACACCTACCTGAAATCTAACCAAGAACAGGAATACTATTTGGCCCCATTTAGACTGGAAGAATGGCAAGAATGGGAATATCACTGAAAGAAACTGTTTCTAAAGAAAAAAGTGCTCATAATCCTACCACCATCATCCAATTGTTTTATTTTTCATATTCCCTTTTAGCTTACATCTATACACACAATTTCATACTACGTTTTCCTATAACATAGAAGCGATGTGTATCCCCACATAATCTTTTTAATTTATGCCTTAAATGGCTACACAATTCTAATGAGTTGCACTTAACATAATGTACTAAACTGTTCCTACTGTTAAAGACTGTTTTTCACTTTTAAAGGTTAACACTAAAATAATTATCTTCAAAAGCATGTAACTTTTTAATTTTACTCATAGGTCACATTTCTAGACCATCTATGCTCTTTTGAAATTAGATGAAAGGAATATGTTAAACAATTTTTTAAATGAAATATATTTTCTCAGATATGTGATTCAGGAGAAACAAAATTCAGACAATCCCCAACCCCAGTAAAAAAAAAAAAAAAAAGAAAGAAAAGCAATACTATGTCCCTTATGCCTTCTTAAAACAGTCTAATGTTGTAAGAAATATTTTCACATCTTAGGATCAGTTAATCAAAAGAAAAATAATAAAGACTTAAAGTTGCATTAAGATGCCATTACTTGATTTTTCACATTTTCTTAAGAATCATGAGAACTTAGAAGCTTCTGATCAATGTAGTATTCTGAGGATGACTTAGAACACTATTCTGTCCCAAACCATGGATGCTGAAATGGACGTGCTGGATAAAATGTAACGAAGGAAATATTGCTAAGCACCAACTCCGGCAAGGGAAATACCCTGGCACTAAAAATAAAGCAGCAACTCAAAGTGAGAGCAGTAAACAGGAACAGAGGCCAAAACAGTCTAACAGCTAAAAACTGATGCATGTGTGGGAGTCATGAAGGACTACACCTGTGAAACACAGACTATAAAAACACTAGCCATAACCTTAGGTGAACAGAAATGAAACTGGAGCCATGGGTGGAAAAGATTCTCTTGTGAGTGGTCAGAGCAGATTCATCTGACCCAAATGGTGTGGGGGCCCTGTGCCACATTTCATTATAGAAAGGTGCACTGAAACTAGTGAAAACTCACTGATAAGCTAGGAAAGGTAAATGTGAAATCAACCTATAGTGACATTTATTCATGTAGAACATATGAGCTCTCTCAGAAAGCACACCCTGGTAAAAATAACCTCACAGAGATAACAAATTGCATTAAAAAAAGTTACCAAGACAGAGAAACAGCAGACACAACAAAATGTATACTGTAGTAACTAGATTATTGAAATCTAAAAATCGAAATCTAAAACCTATTTTTAAATATTTTAAATCAGCATTTTTCATTTGCCCACTCCCTAAAAAGCAGGAATAGAAACTATTAGTCAAGAATTAGTATTTGTTTTTAAAAAGAACACTGAATTTAGAAAAGACCAAGTAGAAATTAAATTAATAAAAAATACAGTCTCCTTGCACTTAAAGACTCAAACTCAGTGGCTATAGGGAACAATCAAATGAACTAAATAGGAAATGAATTAGAAGACAGGTAAGAGAAAATTCACCTAAAAGGAGGAAAAGAGAAACAAAAAGATAAAAAAACAAAAGAAAGGTTAACATGCATTGAAGAGAGACTGAAAGACAGATATACATCTACCTAACAGAAGTTGCAGAAGGAAATCCCAGAGGAGGGAACATCAATACTCAAATACTGAGAATTTTCTAGTACTGAAGAAAAACATGGATCTCAAGTAGAATTAAGAAAACAGGGGCACCTGGTTGACTCAGTCAGTAGGGTATATAACTCTTAATCTCAGGGATGTAGGTTTGAGCCCCATGCTGGGGGGAAGAAATGACTTAAAATCTAAAAAAAATAAAAGAAAGAAAGAAAGAAAAGAAAACGAGCCCACACTGGTATATGTCACAGTGAAATTACAGAACTTCAAAGATAAAAATAATCTTTAAATTATCAAAGCAATTATTTAAGGAAAAAAATAGTCTACTAGCATGATGTTAGAAAAAGCTGATAGTAGATGGCTTATCAACATCTCTAGATTCCAATGGACAATGAAGTGTTACCTTTAATGGATTGAGGAGGAACAAAACTGACCACTTAGAATTCTATGTCCAGCTAAACTGCCACAGAAGAATAAATGTGACAAAATTTTAAGAAAAACTGGAGACTCAGAAAAAAGTAATGAGGTCTACACTTCAGGAAGGAGGAAGCTGAACCTAGAAAAAAAAAGTCACAACGAGGAAAAAATTAGAAAATATGATGATAAATCTAAATTAGTACAGAACATAAAAATAACATTAATGATAACCTGAAGAGTAGGAGTATTCAAAACTAAGAGGAATTAAAATATTATCTAACTTGACAGGGGGAAACCAAGTTAAAGTATTTTAGGTCTTTCCAAACCAGAAAAAGAAAAATAGAGACATAACAAAAACTTCAATCCAACAGAGGACAGAAAAGAACAAAGGGATAGTTAAAATACAAAAAATAAAATGGCCCAAACAATTTCAAATTAATAACACAATAATGTAAATAAATTCACTTATCAGAGACAGAAATTATCAGACAGGATATAAAAACAATGTTTTTAAAGCTAAATGATATAAAAAGCTTAGAAATAAAGGAATAAAAAAATGGCACTAATAATGAAAGGAATAATTCAATTTATTATTGAATTCAATTTAAGTAAATCAAACAATATAGTGTCCAAACAAAAAAATGAACACAATTATATGAAGAATTTTTTACACTATAATTATAGTTGATTTCAATACACGTCTGACAGGAATCAACGGAGCAAGCAAGCAAAAAAATGCTGCGGATACTGATAATATAGACAGCCAAATTAATTAGCTTGAGCTAAGAGATTAATCAACAAATAGTAAATATACTTTCTATCAGAGAATACATATTTATAAAAACTGAACATGTAGGTGTTCATAGGTAAGTTTCAATACGTTTTTAAAAATCATTAGTATGTAATTCTCTTACCATAGTGCAATTCAACATAAATTTTAAAATAACAAAAATAGAGCAAGCAAACAATCTACATGCATCTGACTCTCCATCTCTGCTCAGGTCTTGATCTCAGGGTGGTGAGTTCAAGTGCTGCATTGGGCTGGGCATGAAGCCTACTTAAAGAAAGAAAAGCAGCAAGTTCTCTGAAAAGACCCATAAAATAGACCTCCCAGCAAGACTGCAAAAAAGAAAAAACAAAAATAAATGATACTAGAAAGCTTCTGTAAGATGTGTGTGTATAAGGTTACAGATACACACAAGACTTTTTTTTTTTTTTTTTTTTACAAATAGTTTATTGTCAAATTAGTTTCTACATAACACTCAGTGCTCATCCCCAAAGTGCCCTCCTTCATGCCCATCCCCCCCTCCCCCCCACACCCATCAGTCCTCAGTTTTTGTCAGCATTCAAGAGTCTCTCATGGTTTGCCTCTCTCCCTTTCCCCCACCATTTCCGCCCTTCTTCTCCCCCTCGTTCCTCCGTCAAGTTCCTCCTAATCCTCCTATACGTGCAAACATATGATATTTGTCCTTCTCTGCCTGACTTATTTCGCTCAGCATAACACCCTCAAGGTCCATCCATGTTGCTACACATGGCCAGATTTCATTGTTTCTCATTGCCATGTAGTATTCCATGGTATAGATAAACCACATCTTCTTGATCCATTCATCTGTTGATGGACACTTAGGCTCTTTCCATGTTTTAGCTATTGTGGAGAGTGCTGCTATGAACATTGGGGTACATGTGCTCCTATGCCTCAGCATTTCTGTATCCCTTGGGTAAATTCCTAGCAGTGCTATTGCTGGGTCATAAGGGAGTTCTATTGTTAGTTTCCTGAGGAACCTCCACACTGTTTTCCAGAGGGGCTGTACCAGTTTACATTCCCACCAACAGTGTAGGAGGGTGCCCGTTTCTCCACATCCTCACCAGCATCTAGAGTTCTCTGATTTGCTCATTTTAGCCACTCTGACTGGATACACACAAGACTTAAAATACACACACACACACACACACACACACACACACACAGGGGCGCCTGGGTGGCTTAGTCGGCTGAGCTTCTGACTTTCGCTTAGGTCATGATCTCACGGTTCGTGGGTTCAAGCCCCGTGTCGGGCTCTGTGCTGACTGCCAGCTCAGAGCCTGGAGCCTGTTTCGGTCTGTGACTCCCTCTCTCTCTGACCCTCCCCTGCTCACACTGTCTCTCTCTCTCTCCTAGAAATAAATAAAAAACATTAAAAAAAAATACACACACATATCACACACATATACACATAATGGAATATTATTCAGCCATAAAAAATGAAATCTTGCCATCTGCAACAACATGGATTGAGGTAAAGAATATTATGCTAAGCATTATGCTAAGAGAAAGACAAATACCATGTGATTTCACTCATGTGGCATTTAAGAAACAAAACAAAATGGGCTAAGGGGGAAGAAGAGAAAGAGAACTAAGAAACACTTAACCATAGAAAATTATTCAGTTATTTCGTGTGGCTAGGATAATATGAATATCAAAATCAGAAAGGAAAAGAATTAGAAAAAAGTATAAGACCAATTTCCTTTGTTCGAAGATGCAAAAAAAACCTACATAAAATTAGAGCAATCAAATCCAGCAGTCTTTAGATAAAAATAAAAAATCTGCTTAGTAGTTCAATATGTTAAAACATTAAATATTGGGAGGGGGAGGGCATTTAATCACCTAAATTGGGGAAAAAAGTTCTGATAGGATTTAACAATCATTCAAAAAAGGAATTAAAATAGGAATTAGGAATAGGAATGAAAGGAAATAGGAATTAAAGGAAACAATGCCCTTAAGCCTGATAGAAGAATCTAGTAAAACTCTATATCAAATTTCATATACAGCGATAAATTATGTGGGCTTCTTAAAATCATAACCAAGATAAGGATGCTCATCATCCACCTAGGACCTTAGGTGGAGGTCCTAACCAGATTGATTAAAAAAAAATGCATAAGAAATTGTAAACACACAAAAGTATCATTATCTACATTTGATTTAACGATGATTATAAAAAATCCAAGGGACTCTACACAATGACTAAGAGAGTTCAGCAGGACTGACTATATATAAATACAGGCATAAAATCAACATACAAAAATCAATAATGTTCCTACACATCTAATCAATTAGAAATATTTTTAAAGGCCATTCACTATAGCCACAAAAACTGTAAGACACCTAGAAACAGATTATATATGTGAGGGTTTAATGTAGTAATATAAAATACTAAAGGAAACCAAAAAACCCCAACTCCATATTAATGGAAATGTATCATATTCATGGCAAGATTCAATACCATAAAGATGCCAGTTCTCTGCAAATTTGATTTACAGTTGATCTGTAAATCAAATGCAATTGGCTTTATATGGGCATGGGGTATGGGGAGGAGTGGGGCTTGCTCTACCGGTTATCAAGACCATGATAACAGAGGTCACATAATCTTACTGTTTCGATTTCTGGTTTTATAGTATAGGCAAAGCAACTTGGAAAACCTATTGACTTGAGTAATCAACATATTCTTTAGTCGATTCTCTCAGATGGTGATTACTTCCGGAAAATATTTGACAGGAGCTGATTATACACAATTCTGGACTGGGATCCCCCAAAAGTGCTGTGCTCTGCTGATTGGAGACACCCCAAATATGCTTAATACTAAGACAGTATGTGGCAAAATACTCTGTTATTAGCTCTTATTTTTGCCCATAAGAATAGCCAGGTATTTTACTCTTCTGCTTGGCACAGAAGTGATCTATAGCCTCAGGCAGAGCTGGGTAGCTGCTCTGTTCATATAGGCCTCAGATTTGCACACGTGAGATAACAGAACAACAACTGGTCACTTATACCAGAAAATGACTTCTGTTCAAATAGATAGCTCCTATAGATGTCTTTAAGAAGACTCTAAGCAGGACCATAATAACACACCAGCGCTAGCGGCAAATTATAACTCTAAATAAGTAAATGAATTAACCTAATTGATGCAGGTATTTGGTGCTCTCTAGCATATAGTAATGAAAATAACTATTTGGGGTTGATTGAGCACAGCTGATTGAGACCTATATATAGACAACAGATGAGTTGCTGAGGTAAACTCTTGAACTGAATTAAGACTCCAATTTCATTAAACAGAGGAGAATGATAATCTTCCTACATGTTATATTATGGCAAATTAACAAGTACATGTCTAGTTCATCAAGAGAGTTCACTTCAGTTTTAACTTTAAATATGCTTTAATTTTAAGTGTAGATCATATGGTAACTCTTTGTTTTAACCATATGAAGCAGTGTTATGTTTCTCAACCTTAAATTAAATTAGATAAACTAAAAAGAAAATGAGTTGTTAAAATATAATTTTTTGTAATGGTATACGCAATGACAAATGAAAGACTTGGTCTCTTACTCTACAGAACTTACAGCCCAGTGGAAGAAACACAGAAAGTACACTATCAAATGAATTTGTCACAATTATGCTAAATGCAAAGAAGAATTAGTAAGTCCGTTAAAAATAGAGTAACTGGGGAGCTTACTTTTTATAGTTCAGGAAGACCATGCTGAGCATTACAGGTGGAAGTCATGTGTGTGATTGCCCTCAAGGGAAAAATCTGAGAAACGTAAAAGGCCAGTAAGGCTGGAGACTGGTAGGCAAAAAAGAGAGGGTACCAGATAACACTAGAGAAAGAAGCCAGAGGAGACCGTTTTCAAAGTGCAACAGGGAACCAGTGCAAAGTTTCAGGCATGGGAGTGACATGATCAAATTGAATGATTGTGTGTGAGAACTGGGGGGATGAGGAGTGAAATAGTCTAAAAATGAAAGCAAGTGTTGTAAGAACAGGTATAATTATACTGAGAGCAGTTAAGTAAAGGAAATCCTCTTCCCAACTCCACCAAATGTGGAGAACGGGAATTCCAACTGCACTGAGAAACGCGTTTTCGATTTAGAAACCAAGAGAAATTTACACAATTAAAGTCTAGGAACTCCAAATTAAGTGGATTTTCTCAAACTACAAACTTAAATATCAGCAATTCCTGCTATCCAAATCACCAAGAGCAGTATCATTCTCCTGATGAACATGTTTACTTGGGCGAATTTTTCATTCCCTTCAAATACGGAACAACGAGCAGAGAAAAGATGAAGAAAGACTAGTGAACAGGATGATGAAAAGAGAACAGTGAACAGCGAGTAATCCGAAGATCCCGTCAGCCACCAGGCAAGTATTTGTAAGCAATCACATTTAGGTAAAAGAAAGAAGGAAAAGCTGAACTGCTTAATTTCTTACTTATATTCTTCCTCCCTGGCAAGGAGGTCCCGTCGAGACGCAGCAGAGTGCTGAATACGCGGGGGGAGCGGAGTGCTTGGAACGCTCCGTCTCTGTAAAAGAGAAATAGACTTTCAGACCCGAAGTTAGATGTGGTTCCACGTTCTCAGCCCGCTGGAAATCTAGTCGCTACTCAGGTGTCGGTGTTTAAACTGACCCGGGAACCAACGCTGCGCCCCGCCATCTTTCGTGACTGCGACGCTGTTACCGAGGCAACGAACTCATCTTCCCGCGAGAGTTCCCGCATCCCAGACAGCCCTCCGGGGGCACCACGCTAGCTGGGGAGGGGCCTGAGGGCTGGGGAATAAGCACAACTGCCGCTCTAACTGTGAACTGAAAGGGGGATCCCCGCTCTCCGCTGACCAGGTAGCTCAAGAAGCCAACCTAGTGCGTGGACTTATACTTAAAAAAAATTTTTTTTTAATGTTTATTTATTATTGAGACAGAGAGAAAGAGAGCATGAGTGGGTGGAGGGGCAGAGAAAGAGGGAGACACAGAATCCAAAGCAGGCTCGAGGCTCTGAGCTGTCAGCAGAGCCTGACGTGGGGTTCGAACCCACAAACGGTGAGATCATACCCTGAGCCGAAGTCGGACGCCCAAGCTACTGAGCCACCCAGGCGCCCCGACTTATAAATTCTTAAGTTGGGGTTGGAGAGGTTTACAATCAAGAAAGCCAAGTCCATTTATAAAACTCAGTAAGAAGCAAGCTAGCAGAGCCCCTCCTCTGTTGTGGTTTTCCAAATTTACCAGCCAATTCAACCTCCACCTGGTTTTTTAAAAAAAATGAACTCGTCATTGGAATTTTAGGTTCCAGTTTCTCACAACTAGAGCATCAGCCAGCCTAAATTAATCCTGGCTCAGCTGCTTACTAGTAGTATGGTCTTGGGTAAGTCACTCTGTATCTTGGCTACTTCACCTGTAAAATGAGAATAAAAAATAGTTCCCATCTCATAGAGTTACAATGAGGAGTAAAAGAATTTGTGATTAGGATTATGGCTGAAACACAGCAAGCAGTTAAAATTTCCAACTCTTTTGGAATAAAACAGAATTCAGAAATAAACCTTCACATTTAGGGTGTTAAACTAAAAAATAAAACTGCCAGTTATTTTACCGGCAAAAAATGGGTTTAGCAATAGCAGAGAATTGGAATCTAGAACAAGCAAGGTGCAGCAGAATCACAGGCAAATCCACAGAACACAGGAGAGGACTGCTCTTATACAGGAAAGGGGGGGTGTTGGGAAAGCTGTTAGAAACAAAAACCCTATTGGAATAAAAACTGGGAGTTTTAAGTATAGTTGCTATTCATTGAGCTGTGACAGTCTCTCATTGGCTGAGTTGTGACTTACTGGCTGGGCTGTTGTCAGGGTACGGAAAACCCTTCCTCTTCTAGGGACAGTAAAATGTATCCATGTGCAAGGTCTGTCTCTTCCTGTTGGATTTGGAATTGTCAAGTGGTAGAGTTTTGAGAGCTCCCCCTCCTGGTCTTTTGACTCCATTCTAAACAAGGTTTCCTATTAATTTCACAAGGATCAACATTTGGCAAGGATGCCAAGAGCATTCAATGGGGGAAAGAATAGTCTTTTAAACAAATGGTACTGGGATGAGTGGATATGCACATGCAAAAGAATGCAATTGGACCCTCATTTCACACCAGATATACAATTAACTCAAACTGGATCAAACACCTAATCTTAAGAGATAAAATAATAAAGCTCTTCAAAGAAACTATAGGTGAAAATCTTCATCACCTTTAAGTAATCATTCTTAAATGTAACACCCAAAACAAACCGCAAAAGAACAATCAATAAACTAAACATCATCAAAATCAAAAACATTTTGTTTTGGGGTGCTTGGGTGGCTCAGTTGATTGAGTGTCCACTTCAGCTCAGGTAATGATCTCACGGTTCATGAGTTCGTGCCCTGCACTGGGGTTGACAGCTCAGAGCCTGGAGGCTGCTTCAGATTCTGAGTCTCCCTCTCTCTGCCCCTTCCTCACTCATGCTCTTTCTCTCTCAAAAATAAACATTAAAAAAATTTGTTTCAAAGGATACCATAAATAAAGTGAAAGATGAACAAGAATGAGTGCTGGGGAAAATGTGGAGATATTCAAACCCCCATACACTGTTGGTGGGAATATGAAATTGTGCAGCCACTGCGGAAAAACAGTCTGAGAGTTACATAGAGTTCCAGATGATCTAGCGACCTACTCTTAGGTATATTCCCAAGAAAAATGAAAACATACACCCTCACAGAAAATTGTACACAAATATTTATATAGCAACATTATTCAGCATAGCCAAAAAGTGAAAATAACCCAAATGATCATAAACTGATTAATGAGCAAATAAAAGTGGTATAATACTACAATGGAATATTATTCAGCACCAAAGAGGAATGAAGTACTGACACATACTACAATATGGATGAACCTTGAAAATATGAAATGTGAAAGAAGTAATTCATAAGAGGCCACGTATTATGATTCCATTCCAATATGACTACATATTATATGAAATGTCCAGAATAGGAAAATATATATTGACAGAAACTAGATTAGTGGTTGCCCAGTTTGACAGATGATTGGAGACTGGCTAAGCTGCAAGGGTTTTTTGGTGGGGGTATTGTAAATACACTAAAATTGATTGTAATGATGGTTGCACAACCTTGTGACTATACTAAAAGCCAGTGAGTAGTACAATTTATATGGGTAAGTGGTAGGTATATGAAAAACATCAATTAAGTTGTTAAAACATTAAAAAATAATTAAAATGAAATGCGATGGAAAAAAGTATACCACACTTATGCCAATCAAAAGAGAGATGAAGTAGCTACATTAATTTCAAGTAAAGCTGACTTCAGAACAAGGAAAATTATCAGCAACAAATAAAAGCATTACATAATGATAAAGAGATTAACACTCCATGGAGAGACAACATTCCTTAATGTGTATGCGCCAAACAATTTAGTGTTAAAATGCATGAGGTAAAAACTAAAAAGACTGCAGAAATACAGACAAGTCCACTAATATATTTGGAGATTTGACACCCCTCTTTCAGTAATTGATAGTTTAAACAGGCAGAAAATCAGTAAGGATATAATTGTTATTAATCATCTTGATCTAATTGACATTTGGAGAATACTCCCTCTAACAACAGCAGAATAAATATTCTTCTCAATGTCACATAAAACATTCACCCAAATAGACCACATCCTGGGCCACAAAATGCACAATAAAAAATTTAAAAGAATAGAATTTATATTCGTTTCCTAGGGCTGCTGTAATAAAATATCACAAATTAGGCGGCTTAACAGAAAGGAGGGGCACCTGGGTGGCTTGGTTGAGCCTCTGACTTCAGCTCAGGTCATGATCTCATGGTTCATGAGTTTGAGCCCCCTGTCAGGCTCTGTGCTGACATCTCAGAGCCTGGAGCCTGCTATGGATTCCGAGTCTCCCTCTCTCTCTGCCCTTCCCCTGCTCTTGCTTTCTCTCTGTCTCTCTCTCTCAAAAATAAATAAAAATATGGGGTACCTGGGTGGCTCAGTTGGTTGAGCATCTGACTTCAGATCAGATCATGATCTCACAGTTCACGAGTTCAAGCCCCCTGTCAGACTCTGTGTGGATTCTGTGTCTCCCTCTCTCTCTGCCCCTCCCCTGCCCATGCTCCATCTCTCTCTCTCAAGAAATGAGTAAATATAAAAAAAATTAAATAAATACATTTTAAAAACTAAAAAACAGCAGAAATTTATTGTCTCACAGTTCTAGAAAACAGAAGTACAAAAAAGTGTTGTGAAGGCCATGCTCCTTTTATTTTTTATTGTTTATTTAATTTTGAGAGGGAGAGAGACAGAGCATGAGCAGAACAGGGGCAGAGAGGAAGACACAGAATCCGAAGCAGGCTCCAGGCTCTGAGCTGTCAGCACACAGCGTGACTCAGGGCTCGAACCACAAGATAAGGACCTGAGCCTAAGTCAGCCACTTAACCAACTGAGCCACCCAGGCACCCCTATGCTCTTTCCTTGCCTCTTCCTAGCTTCTGGTGGGGGCTGTTTCAGGTGCATCACTTGAATCTCTGCCTCTGTAATCAACCTGTGTTCTTCCCTAGAGTCTCTGTCTTCCCACATGGCATTTCTTCTAATAAAGACTGCAGTCATATTGGTCAAATACACTGTTTTCATGTCAATCTCAGCATACCAATAGTGATGTTATTGGCTAGGAATGCCTGGGCGGGGGGGAATCACCTGGACTCACGCCACTTGTGGAAAGCCCCCACAGATATTTCCCCAACCAGAGCCAGTGTTGTGGTTGGACTGACCCTTACGGTTCTTATGATGAATGTAAGATACACCCCAGCAATAACCATGAGGGAAAAAATAAAGTTTATTTTTTTAACGTTTCTTATTTATTTCTGAGAGAGAGAGACAGACAGACAGACAGACCGTGTGAGCAGGGGAGGGTCAGAAAGAGAGGGAGACACAGAATCTGAAACAGGCTCCAGGCTCTGAGCTGGCTCTCAGCACAAAGCCTGATGCTGAACCCACGAACCGTGAGATCATGACTGGAGCCGAAGTCGGATGCTTAACCGACTGAGCCACACAGGTGCCCCAAAAATGAAGTTTATTACTCACAAATCCTGGAGGGTACACAGCATGTCTAAAGGCCATACAATGGACACTGGAGGTTGAGAGAGGGAGTACAGACCTGAAGTCCTGCCTTTACCAGGGTTCAAGATGGGTTGCCTAGGGTTTCCCTGATTCACTTTTATTGGTGAATTTTCAAACATAAGAGAACTGGGGCTTGGGAAGGGGAAAGGGGGGTCACTCAAGCAGTCAGTTATTTAGGTTTCAAAGGGGTTTCTACAAGGAGAACTTTATGGATAGGGGAGGTCTCATTCCTTATCTAGTTATTTAACTAGTAGCTGTGTCATCCAGCTGGCAACATGTTTATTCGAGATGGATGTCTTTGAAAGGGATGCCTTGGCAATCAAAGGCTTAATGTCAGCCACTTACTACAGACCCACCTTAAATGACCTCATCTTAACTTGATAATATCTGCAAAGATCCTATTTCCAAATAAACTCAATCCACAGGTTAGGGAGCATGGTTTGGGACCTGAACATATCTTTTGAGGGGACATAATTCAACCTATAACAAGATCATACAAACTATATCCTCAGCCCGTGATAGAATTAAACTAGAAGTCAGTAA